TTTTTTTTTTTTTTTTTTTTTTTTTTTTTTTTTTTTTTTTTTTTTTTTTTTTTTTTAATAATATTTTAACGAGCTTAATTATATTCTCCAAATTTCTTAAGTAATCCTTTAAAAAGAAAACTTACATAAAACATTTTAAAAATATCCATAATAATAATAATAAGGTTTGAAAAGAACTGGTTGCTAATAAAGTAATTTTCAGAATTATTTATTTATTTATTTGCATTTTTCCGATAAATTTGAGTCAACTAGAATTAAAAATAATATGGTTGACTTGGAAGATAAGAACAAGCAACATAGTTATAATCCCCAGAAACAAGGATCAAAGCCGAAGACAAAATAGAAAAAAACAAAAATCAATTTTTGACTAATTCTTCTTCATTCACTTTCTATACAAATCTCTACTCTCTTGCATCAATAGCCAAACCCCAAAGTTTTGTAAACGACACTTATTTCATTCCCAGACATTTTCTCTAAAGCCTTCCATCCCGGACCCGAGCAAGGCGACATAAACCTTCGACGACGAACAAGAGACGTGCCTAGCTAGCTTGAGATCTTTGAGAATTCAGTAATGCTAGGAAGATAATCAGGAGAGAAAAAGAGGAAACATATTTCTAGGCATTTTTTGCTAAAGCCTTCCCCATCCCGGACCCGAGCAAGGCAACATAAACCTTCAACGAAGAAGGGACGAGGCCAGCTCGCGATCTTTGAGAATTCAGTAATGCTAGGAAGATAATCAGGAGAGAATTCAGTAGCTGCTAATTACTTCTTCTATAATCAAAACACAATTTACCTCTAAAGGTATGGCTATGGCCTATGGGATACCAAGAGGAGGAAATGAAATGGAGCAACGTCCCCACCTCCAACAGAAGTTTGCTCCCTTCAATTTAACAGAAACAATATGAACAGGATCCAGTATGAAATATAATATTAACAAACACTTCTTCTCAGCCGAGTCGAGTCGAGAAGAAAGCCAACAGGCAGCGCAGCACAGCACCGAGGATATTAGAGCCCTCCACAACCACCATAAACAATAATTGCTAGTTTCAAACATCAGCGTCCTCTTCACATTAACTTCCAAGCTGCAGCCACAAAAGTAAATGTTATGATTGTTACAAACAAAAAAACACGAACGAAAGACGAGATAGCTGTTGATTAAAACATCTAATTCGAAAGGGAGATAATTGAGAGGCTAGCTAATCTTCTTAGTCCTCCTATCACTCTACCAACGATGAAATGCAAGGCATTTATAAGTATTAACTAATAAAGCAGAGAGACAAGTAATAAAATGCAGCATTGAATCATCCAGCTTTTACTTCAAGATCGAGCAAGAAACGTTTTGACAATTGATATAACTCCTTGGCTAAGAAGTCACTTAAAAAAGTTCCAATGAGTTTTGCCCCTCGAGACATTTAAATGAAATTATGAAATGCTAGAGACAGCTTACAAGGTAACAAAGAAGACAATTAGACTCCATTTAGGAGTATAAACAGCCCAAAAAACTCGGAGTTGCAGACCAGAAGAGGAACTTTTTCCTGTTTCTATTGGTACCAAGTTGACATTCTCTAAAGATTCTAGTATATATACATGTCCAAGGACGGCGATGCAATGAACCATTCTCGATTAGGAAGCAGCCATATACATTTTTTCAACTCAATTTCAAACTAGAACAAACAACTCAAAATTTGAGATCCCACATAGGTTGGATAGTGAAACGAAACATCCTTTATTAGGGTGTGGAAACCTCTCCCTAGCAGACGCGTTTTAAAACCTTAAGAGGAAAAGTTCAGAAGGAAAAACCCAAAGAGGATAATATCGGTTAACGGTGGGTTTGGGCTATTACACCAAAACTCCCTGAACTCGATCCTCATCAGAAGTTGTAGAGCATAGGCAGCTCGAGCATATTGATGGGTTCACAAGCAAGTTGTTGAGTGTGAATGAAAATAGAACTCCACCCCTACGAGGCAAACAAGTTTGGTGGCCCTAACAGTAAAGTATAAGCCAAATAGAGGTTGGCATCCTCGCAATGTCTTTTTCCAATGCTTAACCCATGGCTTGACAAGCTTGTGGGCCTAAAAGAGCTTGACATCTCACAATGACCTTTTCCAACGCCTTGACAAGTTTGGGCGGCCTAATAGTAAAGTATAAAGCCTTGACAAGTTTGGTGGGCTTAATAATAGTAAAGGATTGGGACGTCTGGAGGTAATTTTAAAGCCTGGTGAGCATCGCTGTTTGTCAAAGCCTGGTGAGCACAAAAGCAAGGAATGGGACCTGAACGTCCTGTTTTTCAAGAAGAAAAATGTGAGATATTTCGTCTATGTCATGGTGCCTTGCACGACAAAGCTAATGTGAAATAGACACTTTTGGAAAGATCAACCTGAACCGACCCTTCAAAAGAAGCAAAATTGGTTTAAACTCTGAGATTGTACGGTTTCAATGTTAGAGGTCGTTTGGAAGCTTTCTTCTCTCTGTTTTGGAAGAGAAAATCTTATTTCCACAAATGGGTTGTTCTTGAATACAATGAACAATCATGGTTTATCTTCAGAAATTTGGACCTAAAAGCCATCCCATCGTTGATTCTTAAAAGACAAGTAGAATTTGAATCATGTGGGCAATTTGCTTTGAACAGATTCAACATATAAATCGAACAGAGATTTACATCTAAGATCCGAAACTAATGAATAAGGCATCATTCAGAAACAAGAAAATCGCATCAAAGAGAAATCAATAATCGTGAGAAAATCATCAAAACGAATCGCCGTACCTGGGATGTCCTTTCTGGGCGCAGGCTGAGCCGTAACGTAGTATAAAATCGAACGTCCGATCATGAAGAGGCTCGAAACAACGGCGGCGGCAAAGAAAAACATAACCAATCCAATAACCCAAGGCATCATCATGAAGCCGATGAAGAACGTAACCGATCCACAGAGCATCAGAGCCAGAGACATCCCTAGAAGAAGCGACGCAAACCGCGCCGGGGTCATCTGCGTCGGCACCACCGGCGAGTGATCGGCAAACGGGATTGACGACGGAGGCGATCGGAGAATATTCATGGCAAGAGAAGAAAGCTCGTAGAAAACACTCGATTGCGAATTCCGCCGCTGCTGCCGCCGCATCATAATTCTTCGGTCAAAAAATCTCCAAATCTCCAAAAGGGAAAATCCTCTCAACGTCGAGAACGAAAACCCAGAAACGCTTTTGTTGAAAGATTGAAGGGAAATTGATAAATCTAAGGAACTTTATGGAACTGGGGGGGGGGTCCGTGATTGGATTGGCAACACTAAAACCCCTCAACAGCAACCACAACAGCGAGTGGATAAGTCTGATAAGCAAACTTTTGTTTGTTTCTTAAGAATTCAACACACGACTAAATGCATTCACACACACACACACACACACACACACACAAACACAGAACGGTGAAAACCCAACTCAAATATTGAACTAACGAACCCTTTTCCGGTCTCCCAGAAAGTTCTTGTTCACAATTTCCTCCAATTTCAGTTCGGATTGAGAGAAACAGAGTGAAGAAAGTGAATTAGTATTGGGATAAACATGAGGAAAGGATTAGGGATTGAAAAGAGGGCGGTGAAATGAGAGGGAAGATTTGGCGGGTTACACGTAATGGAGAGGAATTGGGAGTTGGGCAATGGATAACGACGGCCTTTAGATCGCCTAATAGCTTCTTGGCATATGGCATACAGTTCTGATCTTTTGGGATTTGGCGCTGTTTGTGCGGCAATTTGGCGGAGGTTTTCTTTGGCCTCTCTGGGGGTGTGACGATTCTCCACGAAATAGAAATAAGGATTTTTTTTTTTTTTTTAATGTTATTTATTCATATAATTACCTCAAAATAATGTCTAAATTTAATCGTGAAAATTTTCAAAATTCGAGAATTTTAATCATTTAATAATTAAATATGAGAGAAACAAAAGCCCAAGGCAGGTATGGGCCAGTGGCCCGTGGAGACCATGAGAAGGAACAAAGTTGGTTTATTATTGGAATAGAATACCAAAATTCCCTTGAAAATATTATTCCATAAGTTATTATCCATATTTATTACCTATTTAAAATTAATTAATTTATGAACCCGCCACGTTAATATTATAACAACGACGTCAACGATGGAGATTAAATTACAAATTTAATCCTAAAGTTTATATTTATTTGGTATTGAACTTTAAAAAATATTTAAAAGGTCTAAAAATAAAAATTTTAAAAAAATTACATTTTTAGTTTATCAGTTTAATCCTAATTTTTGAAAGTTCGTTTAAAAAATTCTGATAAACTTACATCAATTCTTTGTATTTTTAGAAAAAAATTTAAAAAGTTTATTTTCTAATTGAAGTAATAGATTTATATGAGATGTAGATAGACGATTTCGTCCATATATTTACGATAATAATTATTTATTTAATTCCTTTTATGAAAGTTAAAAAGGTTACTTTTGGTATTTGATTAAAAAATGAGGTATATAAATGAAAATTTCCAAAATTAGTATTTTTAAAACAAATAAAGTATCCACAGATACATAAAAAACTAACTATAAACATTTTTTTTTAAATATATTTTTTAAAAACTTTAATAATATTATTGAAAAAATTGGAAAGTTTTGTGTATTATTATTAATTTAACCTATTTTTTTTTTTTAATTTGATGACCAAATTGGAAATATACTCGCGAAAAAAAAAGTTATTTTTATCAATGAACGATGCAGTCGATTCATACAGTCCAGGTATGTTCCGTCCTCCCATCAACAGCCTTGGAAGAACAGCATTTTGGGCATGCCGATTGCCCCATGCACAACTAATTTGTTAGGCTCCTTCAAATTCCTCATCAATTTCGATCAAATTGACGATACCGAGAAGAATCGGTAACCGAGAGACCGGTGGGGCGAGTTGAGCAATTTCTGTTGAAGAATCCGATGCGATTTCGGTTGCCTCTGATCCGCGGCGGAATGAAGAAAGATTTTCGATTGCTTTAAACCGCTCCAAAAGCATTCGATTCGAGTTGGTCTTTCCAAAGGTTCTATTGAGGGAGCTTTCTTCGTTTTCAGGGTTGCGCGGAGGAATATCTGGTCGTTGTTGCGATATATGTGGTGTGAAATTACTGCTGTATGTGAAATTCCATCGCCGAGCTTCGTCAATGAGGGTATTGGCCTTTTATCTCGATTTTGGTTTTGTTCCATATGAATGCAATGTGAATATTTTTTGTGTTTTCGTTTGCATTATGATATTTTTAGGTTGTCCTTTTTTTTTTTGTTGTCGTGTTTAGGTGGTTAGATTATGTTTTGCTGCCTCCTTGTTGAGGATGTACCATTTTAATGTAACAATCTGTGTTAAGGGACATGAAAATGTTACAAATTTTCTTCTCAATTCCTTGGTGGTTTTTGGTTTTGTTTCTCCCCCACCAAACCCCAATGATTTTATCATAGCTTTATGCTTTTATATTATGTAATTCGATGTGTATGGCTAGCAGACAATATTTTTGTGTTTTACATAGTGAACCAAAGGTTGAGGGTAATGTTTCTTCTATGGCAGTTTGCTTCTCTATTGATGCTCAATGGCAGTGATATAAACACATTTCCTTTTGAAGTATGAGGAAACGTTTAGTCAGAGAGTCTAATACGTGGTTGCTGAAGTTGTTATAGTAAACAAAAAGGCCTGCTGTTTTAATAAGCAAACAAAGCAGGCAAGTGTGTAGAGGCAGGAATAATGGATTGTAATAAAGATGAGGCTGCACGGGCGAAAGAGAAAGCCGAGGAGAAATTTACAGCCAAGGACATTACGGGGGCTAAAAAACTTGCTTTGAAGGCACAAAATTTATTTCCAGGACTTGAGGGTATCTCTCAAATGTTAGCTACGCTTGATGTCTATATTTCTGCAGAAAATAAGGTCAATGGAGAAGTAGATTGGTATGCGATGCTTGGTGTCGATCCACGAGCTGATGAGGAAACAGTCAGGAAACACTACAGGAAGCTAGCTCTTATTCTTCACCCTGATAAAAACAAGTCTATTGGAGCTGATGGGGCTTTTAAGCTTATTTCTCAGGCTTGGAGTATGCTGTCGGATAAAGCGAAAAGAGTGGTATATGACCAGAAGAGGAATGGTAGAGTCAACAGAACTGTTTCGACTTCGAGAGGGAACTCATCTTCACAATCTGGGAGAAATGGTTTTTACAATTTCACAAAAAATGCTCCTACGTCGAGTATGAAGGGACAGAAAAATGCATCCCGACCAGATTATGCTTCAACTTCATCTCAGAAACCAAGGCCAACAACCTTTTGGACTGTGTGCCATCGGTGCAAGATGCAGTATGAGTATCTCAGAATCTATCTAAATCATAATCTTCTTTGCCCCAACTGTCATGAGCCATTTTTTGCTATAGAAACACCACCACCCCCTTCAAATGGTGTGAAGTCTAATGGATGGGATTTTACTCAGCCAAATCATCAAACTGGAAGTAAAACTGCATATAGTCGAGAGAGGAGTAATATAGGCTCATCATCATACATGGGAGCAGGTGAATTGAATCACCCTACACATAGCCAAAACACCTTTCAGTGGGGTCCATTCTCAAGAACAGGTGGTGCTTCATCTGCTGCTCAAGCTGCAACTGTAGTTCAGCAGGCATATGAGAAAGTGAAAAGGGAACGTGAGGAGGCACAAGCTGCCAAAAGAGTGGAACGAAGAAAGCATCATACGTCTAAGAAGGCCCCTGGTGCTTCATTTTCAGGCTACTCTGGTGCTGTAAAAAGAAGAAGAGGTATAGATGACATTTCTTCTAGCTCCCATGCAAGAAATATAACCGATCAGTTGAAAGCTATGGAAAGGACTAAGCTGGTCAATCTGTCTGGTTGTACACAGGGTAATATAAAAGAAAATACCACACTCAAGAGCTCTCAGGATGTCTCTCTTAGTGAAATTCAGAATTTATTAATCGAGAAGGCCAAGAAGGAAATGAGGAAGATGTTATGTGAATTCAAGTCAACAATGTCAACTACTGCTATGGTCAAAGAGGGAAACGGGAATGGGAAGGTAACTAGGAAGAGAGAAACATCTCCTATGAGTGGTGAAAAGCACAATAATGACGTATCGATCAAACTTCTGAATTCAAAGAGGGAATCACAGTCAGTGGTTGATTTTCCTAGCAATTCAAGTTCCAGTGATGCAGAAACAATGTTAGTTGATGTCCCTGATCCGGATTTTCACAATTTTGATAGAGACCGTACTGAAAGCTCTTTCAGAGACAATCAGATCTGGGCTGCTTATGACGACCATGATGGCATGCCTCGACGTTATGCCTGGATTCATAGTGTAGTATCTTTGAACCCGTTTAAAATGCAGATTCGTTGGCTAAACTCAATAATCGACTATGAATTGGGTGCACTGAGCTGGGTTAGCTCTGGTTTTCCAAAAACGTGTGGGGGTTTTAGAACTGGGAGGTGTGAGATTTATAGCTCCATTAATGCTTTTTCTCACAAGGTCAGATGGTCAAAAGGCACATACGGAGACATTTGCATATATCCCAGAAAGGGAGATGTTTGGGCTCTCTATAGGAATTGGTCTCCTGATTGGAATGAACTGACATCAGATGAGGTAATACACAAGTATGACATGGTAGAAGTTCTCGAGGATTATAGCGAAGAACTTGGAGTTATCATAACTCCCCTCATCAAAGTGGCTGGTTTCAAGGCGGTATTTCATCGGGATTTGGACCCAAACCATGTAAGAAGGATACCAAAAGATGAGATGTTTCGGTTTTCTCATCTTGTACCTTCACATTTGCTTACAGGTCAAGAATTCCCAAATGCTCCCAAAGGTTGCAGGGAACTGGACCCTGCAGCCACTCCAGTTGACCTTCTTCACATCGTAGAGACCCCCAAGGAAGAATTCATAGAGATTGAGGACTTGAAGTTGCAAAGTTCTGCCACCAAGATGGTAGATATTAGTGATGAAAAGATGGAAAAGAAACCCAGGGAAGCAAGAAAAGAGGATATAGTGAAGCCTGTAGTGGAAGATGTTCTAGAACTTAAACTGGCCAGTAAGACGATACACACTAATGAAATGCAAGTTTCTTGAACATTGGATTATTTGTTCCCCGTGGATATGACTGGTAAACTTTGTGGAAGCTGATTGGACATAGTTGACATCTTTAGCGTTCTGACTTACTCTTTTCCTCCTCCAAGGATCTGTTAGATGGGGATCCGTACTTGTAAATCATACCTTTTGATGTTATTATACCTTTTAACTTAAAGATCTGTTAGAAGGTTAATCTATACATTTTTTTTATGTCACTGTAGCCGCTCGTGGAAGCTCCGCTCCTTCGTGTATATTACACGGTAAAACGAACTCCATTCCTCAGTTTTGCAAGTTCTGTATATATTCTCTCCCATAGATGTTATACTCAAGAGTCATCAGTTTTTGACCTACTACTCAAGTAAGCATGGGTAAGTAATTACTTCCAAAGTCTCCTTTTCTTCTGCTGAAGCACATTATTATTGTTTCTTTATCATTTCTCACAGGATTGCCTGACATAATGGTCTTCATATTGTTGAGCTGATCATAATTTTGAGAATACCACTGATTAGAAACCAATTTTCTCCCATTTTTAGAGCGACTTTTTGCTGCTTTCTCCCGACTCGGGTTCCTGTTTCATTTAAAGTTAATGAAGAGGATGCATTTTGAACATTCCCCAGAGGCTTTGTTTTGATGAGAATCAGGTTTTTTGCTTTCTTGAGTTCTCTGTTTTGTACTTTTGGGCATTCCATCCTAACACATACGTTTTATTTATGCAGTGA